GTATAAGGGCCCTGAGCGGTGCAGAGGCTGGGACTCATTCCCTGGTGCCCTCATGGCTTAGCTTTACTGACCAGATCACTTTTGCCAACCTCTCCCAATTACCAAAGTTCCATCGAAACTCCACTCAAACCAGGAAGTTCAAACCTGAGATTTAGTCAGCTGGTGCTAACAGCCTCATTGTACATCAGCAGAAACAAGACCCTCTTTCTCTGTTCTCAAAGGCAAGGAGAGTTAAGATGGGGCTGGGTTCCAACTCTGTACTCTGGGGTAGGCCTGATTCGCCCACAGGGTCTCCTGCAGACTTAGAGAGAGGCACCACTCCAGGACCCACCATATCAGCTCCCTTTCAGTCCTCCATTCAGCCCTCCGTACCCTTGACTCAGGAGAAGGGGGAGCATGCCTGCTCCTCTCCTGGGGGCTGCACAGGCCCAGACATTTAGCTGCCATGGCTTCCACGGATCGAGGCATGGCTGAACTGGGTCACAGCCAATGACAAGCAAGCATGGTTGCTGAAGTCACAGTGGGCACTTCTGTCCCCAGATGTTAACGAGTGTGAGCTCTACGGGCAGGAGGGGCGCCCCCGGCTCTGCATGCACACCTGTGTCAACACCCCGGGCTCCTACCGCTGCACTTGCCCCAGTGGATACCGAACCCTGGCCGATGGGAAGAGCTGTGAGGGTAAGACCACAGCAGAAGCGGGTGACCTCAGGGCTAGAGAGCACCGTCTGCACTGGGTCACCTGCTGTCGCAAACCCCTAGGACCTGACAATTGGGAGTGGGTCTTTAAAGGAGTCAAAGTTTCAGATACCTTCAATTTTTAAAAAAACTCTGGCCAAAGAGCCACTCAAAGATCAGGCTGTATTGCCATCTGCATAAAGAGGCAAATCAGTTGCTTAACCATCCTGGCAAATAATCTCTTCTGGCCTTGTGAAAATAACTTTTTTTCAAGATCAAGTCACTTCCATCCATGCAGCAGTGCCTTCAGCTAGGGCTGAACCCTAAGGCAGAGTGGTCAGGTGTCACCCATGTCATATAATCTGGAGGAGCCCACAAGTCCTCATAAGACTGTGTAGGTACTTGCAAGTCCACCTCTGAAAGGGACAGCAGCTGACAGGCACTTATATCCCTTAGTGTGGTCAGGCTCCATAGCACCAGCCCTGTTGCATGGCTCACTGAGCATACAAGAGGTAGAGCCCCCAGAGACTGGCCAGAATGAGGTTCTCCTGGGCTTGAGGGCCAAAGGGAGGAGTTATCAGAGCCTGACAGATTGTGGCCATGGAGGACACAGCCACCGCTGATTGAATACTTCCAAACCCAATTGGAAGCCAGAAAGCCTGGGGGCCAGGAGATAAAGTCCAGCCCAGTCAGCCTCCCAGGACCAGAGGGTGGATTTGGGGATGGAGGGAGTTGTACAAATGGAAAATAACTGGCTCAGCTTTCACTCCTGTGCTAAAGCCTGCCCTTAGAGGAGAGAGCCCTTTGATCACCAAGAAACGTCTACGGTGGGGTGGAGACAGGGGCGGGAGAGGATGTGTGCGAAGTAGGGTGGCTGGCAGGATGAGAGGCTGAGGGCTACATAACAGTCACCACCATCACCACCAGATACATCTCGGGACACTGGGCACACTAACAGGGTCTCCCATCACCTCATCTTCTCTCAGGGCAAATACAGATACTAGAGGATACAGATATCAGAGCTGCGTGTTAGTTCAGTGTCAAAGTGCACATCTCAGGTCTGAAAGCCAAATGGGGTCTCCTGCTGTTCATCCTGATTCCGAGGCCTGGAACCCCGGTGCTACAGTGGGCCTTTGGGGGAACTGGGTCTGTGATGCAGGTCCATCTCCCCCAAGTGTATATCCGGGTGAGTCCATGGACACAGACACAGAGAGAAGCCCACTGGCCCCACACGATGCCCATGAACCACTAAGGGAGCAGTGCGGGAGGGAGAGCAGAGGACTCCTCTGCAGACTGGTGTGTGAGGAGAGCTGGCTCCCTAATGGCATCCTCCTGGGGCTCCCTGCAGGGCTCAGAGGAGTGCAGCCTCAGACTGGAGTAGGGGAGGCATCCAGACAGCCACCTGTCCCCCCACCTGCCTGCAGCCCTCCCTACAGTAGTCATGGAGGCCCACACAGGATTGCCCAGGACTAGGAAGAGGCAGGCCCCAGCTGTGGGGCTATGGGACGCCTGGAAAAGGAGCAGAGAACTCATACAAATGAGAGAGAGAGGATGGATGTCTGTTTTTGGCATGGGTTGAGGCTGAGAGGAAGGCTTTCCAGAAGATTCAAGTGTTTTTCTAAATTGATGACAAGTAACAACCATGCAGGAGAGACTCGAGGGCACTTGGTCTGAGAAGGAGGCAAGTCTGAGGGCAGCACCGTGGCTGGTAACACTTATGCTTTGGCACCTCTGAGACCTGTCCTACCCCGGGAGATCAGAGTCCCAGGGAGGGTGCTCCCTAGCACTTTCAGTTCTGCTGCACTTCCGCAGGACCCTGATTCCAAATGGTTAAGGCAGACAGGCTTCCTGATTTAACAGTATTCTTGGGTATCTGGAAAGCTTGCTGTGCGTGGAACACCAGGTTCCGGTGCCTATGAGGGCCTCTTGTGTTGTTCTGTCTGTGATAGAGGGACAGTTGGGGGGATTCTCACCTCATTGTATGTCCTGTATTTCAGATGTCGATGAGTGTGCGGGCCCACAGCATGTGTGCCCACGGGGGACCACGTGCATCAACACCGGTGGGGGCTTCCAGTGTGTCAGCCCCGAGTGCCCTGAGGGCAGCGGCAATGTGAGCTATGTGAAGACATCCCCCTTGTGAGTAAAGCCAGGGCTACCCGCACCTGGGCATGGACATTCCTCACCTGCACACACCCATGTATACGTGCCCACAGGCATCAGTGTTCCTCATCCACACACATTCATGTACAGGCGCTCATGGTAAGGGACATCTCTCACCTATGCATATCCACACACACCTGCCTATCCATGCACCTCCATATGTATCCTGTGGGCATGGACATCTCTCAGGCTCCATATGATGTGGGGTCAGTTTCTTCCTGGAGGCTCTTGAGAGAAGGTACAGTTATGTCATAAGAAAGAGAAGAGGCAGGGGCCTGGGAGTCTGGCGTCTCTGAGCTTCCATTTCCCTTAAATGGTTGCATTTAATGCATTGTTCGAATGCAGTAAGAACCCAGTTTGTGCTACAAGGAAGTAATGTACCAAGTGTCCTCCTGCTGCATAGAGGATGATGGGGTTGCAGCTACCCAGGGTAGCACAGTCGGAGGGGGCAGCTGGAAGGGTGAAGTTGTTGGTTACCTGATGAATCCTATACCAGCCCAGGAGACAGGTGTATATCACACAGATTTGGGAGAGCATCAGTTTTTCATGCTCACATACCTAGTAATTACAGACTCCAGTTACCTCGTGTAGCCCATGCATGTTGCAGTATATCCCCCATTTTCCCAGTGGACTAGAAGGTTCAAAGCTTAGCAGGTGAGGCATTTACACAGTAAATACAGGGTTTGTTTCTTTGACTGTTTGTTTTTGAGTTGGGAAATGGGACTGTCAGGGAAGTAACTACAACTATCATGAAGCATCTACATTTTCTTCTCAAAAGAGATCATAGGAGCCCTAGCATTGTCTTTAAAGTGAAGACAACTGACTTCATAACCTGGGTTACTTGAATTGCTTTTTGCATTAAGTCAGTGGCACTGAAGAGTGGCAGTTTAATTAGAGTGAAGAACTAGAGCCTCCCTCAAAGGAAGGGACAGGGAACCCATCCACCACGGCCTCCAGGGCATTCGATTAACAGCTGGATTCTCATGAGGTACAGAATCACTAAAATTGTATTTGTCTTTTATGTATGGTAAAATAGAGATATATGGAAAGCATTGATTCTGAATGGTTGAGGAAGACAGGGTTTCCTGCTTTAGGAATAAATGTTGCATCTGGGAAGCTCAGCGCCTGCAGAGAACCACATTGCAGGAGGGTGCCAGCCAAATGCTGAGGTCCCTCGCCACTAAGAGAGGTCTCAGCGCAGGTGGAAAGAGCACCTGGTTTGAATATCAGCCCTGCCATCATTATTTAATATTCCCAGACCTTATTTTTCTGTAAGAACTATAGTAGTAATGTATCTACATATACACACGCACACACACACAGAGAAGGCTGGTCACATCCTTTCTGGGCCTGACCCCAACCGCATTCACTTGCCTGCAGCTCGATAGCTCCTGGGAGAGGGAACTGTGGCTGGGAAAGGTCATCCAGGTGGCCTCTGCACATGGGCAGGTGGGGCAACCGGCTCAGAGCAGCGCCTTGAGTTTCTTCAGGCCAACTGCCTCTCCATTTCCTCTCTGCTCTAGCCAGTGCGAGCGAAACCCCTGCCCCATGGACAGCAGACCCTGCCGCCACCTGCCTAAGACCATCTCCTTCCATTACCTGTCTCTGCCCTCCAACCTGAAGCCACCCATCACGCTCTTCCGCATGGCCACAGCCTCCGCCCCCAGCCGGCCTGGGCCCAACAGTCTGCGGTTTGGGATCGTGGGTGGGAACAGCCGTGGCCATTTCGTGATGCAGCGTTCAGACCGGCAGACTGGGGAGCTGATCCTCGTCCAGAGCCTTGAGGGGCCTCAGACGCTGGAGGTGGACGTTGACATGTCAGAATACCTGGACCGCTCCTTCCAGGCTAACCATGTGTCTAAGGTCACCATCTTCGTGTCCCCTTATGACTTCTAAGTGTGCTGGTAGGGTACCAGGGTATGGAGATCTGGCTCATTCTCTTCCTGGAAGACTCCACTGTGGGCACTGTGGGCGACAGACGTCTCTCCCCTCCCACCTGGTCCCTGCCCACCTGCCTGTTCACCCAGGCTTCTGGGGCAGTGCTGTATACTGTCCCATGAGTGGCACAGAAGGGCAGCCGCAAAACCCAAATGCCGGCATCACATTTTATTTTCTGCTTTAAGGCCCTTCCTTAGATTATGTACTAACTTGCTCAAACCTTTTTTCAGGGATGGGCAGCTTTTTGAAATGCTGTGCAAACAGCATGGTGAGTTTGAAATAGCCAGGGAGGGAAAAGCTTGTAATGTATGTCAGGTGCTTTCAGCCCTTCTGCAGGGTGACCGCCAAGCTTGCTCTGAGCGAGGTGGTTCTGGTTATGCTGAGGGGCCAGCCACACCTCCGCACATGTGGCACAGGGGGTGAGTCTCCTCCCACGACCCGACCTGGCACACTGTTGTCTGCCTTCCCCCCTGTGACATGCCCACTGGCCTTCTCATCAGAGGGTCACGGAGGGCCTGTGAACTCCATGCAGATCCTTCTAGACCAAGGAACCATCATGAAACTATGGATTCTACCTGGGTTACTTCTCTTTTGAGAAATCATATCTCAGCTACATATCTGGTATTATAACTGAAGAAATAAAGTCTGTTGCTCCTCCCTGCCCCCGTGACTTCTCCCTGAGCTTGAGGCAGCCCAGTTCCTTCTAGGAGGTGATAGCTGGCTCTCTTCCTGCCTGGGTTGCATACACTGGAATAAATGAATAAGACAAAACACAGAGGTGACGTTTGGGATTGTTCCACCAATACAAGTTTGTCTTGGCCACATGGGAGACTGGTAAGGACATCCGGCTGTGGAGAGTTCAGGAAAATGCTCAAATTGTCATTGATTCTATGGCCTTCTACTTCCTATGGAAGAATCATGGGGTGATGTTCTCCAGGTGACTAAAGAAAGAAAATATAGACCAGGGCTGAGAGTGGGCTGAGGGTGGCATGGGGTGAGGGAGCCCATTACAGTTAAAACTTAAGAGGTAGCTGATAGCTGAGCTGTGAGGAAGTTTCTTCATTTGTTCATTCGTTTGTTTGTTCATCCTCCCTCCCTGCCTGCCTGCCTTCCTTTCTTCCTTCCTTCCTTCCTTCCCTTCCTCCTCTTCCTTCCCTTCTCCTTCCTTCCTTCCTTCCTTCCTTCCTTCCTTCCTTCCTCCCTCCCTCCCTCCCTTCCCTTTCCTTGAGTAAGTTTTGGAAAGAAGTTTCAATATCCAAATACATGTGAATCTATTGGTGGGATTTCATCACACGTATTTTATTTTTAAATTATTGGGCCCTGGTCTGAGATGGAACTAGAGGACGTGTGTTGCACATTCAGTGATCAAGCCCATATCTACATGGTTTCTAGGATGATATATCCTTGCCCTACTTTTGAACAAAGAAAATAGCATGGTCAAGAGTTGTTTTTGAAAATTTTTTTCTCATCCTAAGGGCTCAGCTGCAATCGCTCTCTAACAACTGAACAGGTGTCTGCAAACTGCTTTTCTGAGTTATTACAAGACTTCTTAATGATCCACAGCCTCATGCTTCTAAATGTTGCTTTGCTGGGTCAGACACCTGCATGCCATATGGTCCCATGTGTGGAACACCGGGTAGAAGAGTTCAGAGCCCTGGCCAGGTTCCTGGGTGAGATGTCACAGCTGTGGGTTCTTCCTCCTGGGGATGGGTGGTTCAGAGGGACAAGGCTCTGACTTCCCAGCAGGCGAGGAGTGATTTGAGAGTCTACAGAGCAGGTGCCTCAAACTAGCATTTGATGATGACTTTGATGCCAAACAGGCTCAATCTAAAGCAACAGTTTTTATCATCAAGCGCTGCCATGGTCAAACCTGCTCCCTACTGATGAAATCACTTGCTGAGCCCCAGTTCCCATGGCACCAAATATGAAGGCCTGACTGCTGAGGGCCCTCCCCCTGCTGGGTAATGTCTTGTTCTCTGTGCCCTGTCTCCTCACTTTCTCCTGTGGAAACCAACTTCTCGTTTCCCCTTTCGTAGCTCCCATCTGCACTAGGTCAGAGTAACTAGTAGTTACCAGGCATTAATTTGTATCCTAGGTAGTCAAGTTGCATATTATCTAGGGGACATTAAAACTTTGTATTATGCAAAGTTGAACACATACAAAAGTGGAGAGAATAGTATAATGAACCCCATGTCTGAATCATCACCAACTTCAACAATTAATCCATAGGGCAATCTTGGTAAATGTTTCATTTACCTTTACCCCACATCATGATGATTTTGAAGTAAATCCCAGATACCACATCGTTTTATCTGTAAATATTACAGTATGTAGCTCTAAAAGATAATGACCTTTTAAAAAAGATGACATAATGCCTTTCATGTCTAAAAATAGTAATTCTTCATTACTGTTGAAAGAGTCATTGTTCAAATTTCTCTGAGTGGCTCACGACTTTTTGTTTGCTTGAATGAAGTCTATGCACTGTCATTTATTGACATGTGTCTTAAGTCTTTTTTGATCTCTAGAAGAGGGTCTCAACCTTCAGCATATGTTAGAATAATCTGGAGGTTTGTTAGAAGGCAGGATAGCATGTAGTTTATGCTATAAAATTTCTCACAGTCTAGTTTTTGCTAAGTGCATCTCTTTGGTGTCTTTTAACGTGTTCCTGTGTCCTGTCTATTTCTCATAAATTCAGAGATTTAATCAGGTGCAAGTTAGATCTTTGGCAGGACTACTTCCTTGGTGTTGATAAGTACTTCCAGTAGAAGGCAGTCCTGGTCACCTCTTTTTTCTGGTGTTAGCAGCAACTGATGATTATGGCATAGACAGATCTATTTTTCCTTTAGGGGTTTTAGTTAATAGTCTAGGACTATTTTTTTTTCTTTGTTGGCTTTACCTTATAAAGAGAAACATCTTCTGATCACTTATTTTGTTACCCGTCGCTGCCCCTGTCGCCCCGTCACTGTCACTGCACAAAGGAATCAGGCAGCACACGGATTGAAGTACAAGTTTCTAAGAGGTGGGCTAACCATAGGTGCAGGGTAGCCCCGAGCAACCTCCACAGTAGCTATTTATTGAGACGGAACATAACAGGTGAGGGGAGTGTTATTAGATAATGACTGTGTGCTTAAGGATTGCCACGGGCTCAGGCTCTCTCCCCGCCTCGCCAGAAGATGCTTAAGATTTAACACCTGGGGGTGAGTTAGCTGAGGGTCCGCCCCCAAGCTGCAAAACATCTCGCCCACAGGCCGTCCTGCTCTCGGCGTCTCCTACAGTGACCCTGGTATTTGGTTTGTCTATGAAAGGTAGGACGAATTCTTGACTTCCTTTATATTTTCCAGTTTTTAAAATGAGGTGGTTCCCTGGCATATTTCTAGATGTCCAGTGAGAATTATTTTCTTCTTCACATATATTATATAAACTCATGGCTGAAATACATTTGATGTGTATTATTATTCTTGTTAATAATTGCAGTTATTGCCCTTATCTTGGCTCAAATTATTCTATCTTTGGTCCTTGTGAGCTGCTTCAAATTGGTTGATTCCTTTTGAGATAGCTCTAATCATCTTTGATGGTCTCCTAGCTATTTTATATCTATTTTACCCCACCCCTGAAATTAGCCACTTCTCCCCAAGAATTCCTGGTTCCTTCTAGTGGGGAATGGTAATCACCAAACAAAATCTGGGTGCTAAGAGTGCTCATTGCTAAAAGTTAGGTCAATGTTTCTTGGCTTCAGTGGCTAGAGATAGGAAATATGGTATTTGTATTTTTAAGAAAGATAATATATTCTCAGCGCCCATAGCTCAGTGGTTAGGGTGCCGGCCACATACACCAGGGCTGGCGGGTTGGAACCTGGCCTGGGCCTGCTAAACAACAATGACAACTACAACAAAAAAATAGCTGAGTGTTGTGGTGGGCGCCTGTAGTCCCAGCTACTTGTGAGGCTGAGGCAAGAGACTTGCTTAAGCCCAAAAGTTTGAGGTTGCTGGAAACTGTGATGCCACAACACTCTACTGAGGACAACATAGCGAGACTCTGTCTCAACCAGGAAGAAAGAAAAATAATATATTACATGAGTTTATGCTAATACTTCCAATTCAGTTCAGGACTATAGTTTTCTTTCTTCTTCTTCTTTCTTTTTTTTTTTTTT